AATGTTGCTAGCATTTGGTCCGCCTAATATCCTAACAGCTCCGATCGCCTGATACCAGTTACACTCACTGCGCTCCGTGTTGACACTGTTTTTAACTGGGGCGTCACTGTTTATTTGGTCTTCCCGCGCTCTGGTCATCTGTGTCACCTTGCCCCCCGTCTCGTCTCCCCGCATCTCGTCCTGACCTACCTCATAGACACGCGGGTTGATTGTAGACCTTCTGTCTGTGCTGAATTTGTAACCCGCTGGGTTCGTAGGGGAAAAATCAACGCACTGGTCCAGGGGATGGGAATAAAGACAGAATACTAAGACAACTTACAACAGAATTATGTAGGGACTGTAGGTGCAATGATCTATGGTCTATATTGTCACGGGGAATGAGATCGTTCTGTCGGTTTGCTTGTGCATAAATGACGGGAAAACCAACGTATTCTCAAGTTGCATTTCTAACCAGGAGAAGGCACCCCCTGAGGATAAATGGTCGTCAACTTGAAGAGGTAGACAGTTTTAAATACCTCGGAATGAGGCTATTGCCGAATTGACAGAGTAAGAACGACATTGTCTTCCTCAATAAAACTTAACTGAATTGAACTGAATGGATGCTGGTCTTCGTGTTTTCTCAATCTCCAGAAAGCGCCTGTAGATCCGACGTGACATCTCCATCGCCACGAAGGTCTGTGTGTACCGCGCATTCGTCCGGTCAGTCCTCTCTCTATGGATGTGAATTCTGGGCTTCGCGCGTTGAAGATGAGCGAAGACCGGAGATGTTTGAACACCGTTGCCTTGGGCCATCCTTCGAGTTAAGTTAGGTATATCGATTGTTCCGACCTAACGGATATCCGATCAGCTTTGCAAAGAACTGTCTCAGGTGTCGAGCCCAATCGCCAACAGTGAAATGATAGCGTCGGAAATTATACTCCCTGCCTAATATGCAGGGAACTTCTGAGTTAGTAGTCCGGCAGTTAAGTCGCTTGTATATTCACATCGCCCACAAACCAGCATCATCACAACGCACTACACTATCGGTCATTGTGTTCAAGACACTACTTCTAGTCTGCGGGTTCCCTGCTTTGTCGGTTGTGATCGGGAATATGATGAATGAATGTAGG